ATGGCTCAGTCGCATACTTGAGATACAGAACTGATGAAGATAAATTTGAAACTACATTTGTTTTGGCAAAATCACGTGTTGCACCATTAAAGAAATTAACGCTTCCCCGCCTTGAATTGATGGGAGCACTGGTGGGTGCTAGGGTTGCCAACTACCTGAAAAATATTCTACATATTTCAAATGTCATTTTATGGTCAGATTCGGAAATAGTTCTACATTGGATTAAAGGTACAGCTAAAAGATGGAAACCTTTCATTGCTAATAGAATTTCAGAAATACATGAAATTTCAGATCCTTGTTCATGGAGACATTGCGAAGGAAAACTCAACCCTGCAGATCTAATAACAAAGGGTTGTTCTGCAAAAGAACTGATAAATTCTTCGAAATGGTGGCATGGCCCTGCATTTCTTTCGTTACCTGAAAGTCAATGGCCAAAACCCAAACTATCGACGTCAAAATTACATGATGTATCAGAAGAATCTCGAAAATCGGAAGCTATCCTAGCGTGTTTGATCAAAACAGACAAAACTGAAAATGTTCCACTCATGAATTTGACAAAATTTAGTTCCTTGAAAAAACTTTATCGTGTGACTGCTTGGATTTTCAGATTTATATCAAATTTAAAAGTAAAAAGGGAAAATAGAAATTTTGCGGAAATTTCAGCAGAAGAAATCAGTAAATCTGAAACCTTTTGGTTAAAACAAGCTCAAGAAGATAGTTTTCCTGAAGTTATAGAGTCTCTAAGAGAAAACAAGCATATTCCAAAAGATTCAAAATTGTTCGAATTAAATCCCATATTATCAGATGAAGGTCTACTTTTGGTACGAGGTCGGTTACAAAAGTCAAACCTACTATTTAACAACAAACATCCAATAGTAATCCCTTCAAAACATAAATTAAGTGAATTAGTAGTACGAGACGCTCATGAAAAGGTTTATCATGCGGGTGTATCGGATACTCTAGTGCATATACGTGAAAAATTCTGGCTCTTAAGAGGAAAACAATACGTCAAATCAATCCTGAGTAAATGCTTAATATGCAAAAAATATAATGTACGTCCTGGACAACAAATCACTGCACCTCTTCCAGCGGATAGAGTTAATGAATCTCCACCTTTCGCAATTTGTGGACTCGATTTTGCAGGTCCTTTGTATGTAAAAGAAAATGACAACAAATACTACATTTTATTGTTTACTTGCGCTACTACAAGAGCTATTCACCTTGAGCTCGTAAAAGGCATGAGCACTGAAGAATTTTTACTTGCGTTCCGCAGGTTCGTATCCCGAAGAGGTTTGTGTTCCACTGTGTACTCGGACAATGCTAGAACATTTAAAAGAGCCGAACTTGAATTAAAGCAAATGTGGAAAGTGATTAACCACCCTGAAGTTAAAAAATTTTATGCTTCGCATGGAATCACATGGAAATACATTGTGGAACGTGCTGCCTGGTGGGGCGGTTTTTATGAACGTTTAGTTCGCAGTGTAAAAACTAGTTTAAGAAAGAACATTGGGAAATCATCTTTGACTCAAAGTGAATTAGAAACGCTTTTGCTTGAAATAGAAGCGATGATAAACTCGCGTCCATTAACATACGTCTTTTCTGATCTTGAAGAGCCCTCCGCACTTACTCCAGCCCACCTGTTGATTGGTAAACGACTCTTGAGTTTGCCAGCTGTAAGGAGGAATGACTTGAATTTACCAGGTTCCAGAGAAGTAATGTTAAAACGTTTCCGTACACGAGAAAATCTAATAAATCACTTTTGGAACAGATGGAAAAAAGAATATCTCCTGTGCTTGAGATCTGCTCATTATACCGGTCAGAAGAAACCATCTGCATTCAACGTAAATGATATAGTACTTGTTCATGATGAAAATTTACCTAGAAGCTGGTGGAAATTAGGAAGAATAACCAAAACCTTTATTGGTAGAGATGGAATGATCAGATCGTGTGAAGTGAAAACTGGTAATTCGGTAATCAAACGTCCAGTGCAGCTATTGTACAATTTAGAAATTGATGATATCAGTAATTGCAATAATCAGTGACTGGTAAAAAAAAAAAAAAAAAAAATTGGACTGAATGACTGATAAACTGATGATAAAAAAAAATGTTCTTTTTCATAATGTTTTCATTTATTCATTATTATTTTCCTTGGTTTAATGATTTGTGGTGATCTTGAGAAATGTTAATTTAAATGTTTTGTTTTTTCTATAGTTTCAGAAAAACTTTTTTTCTTGGTGTTAAGAAATTATTGATATAATGTGACCTGTATTTTTATTTGTTTCTTATTGTTATAGTAATATTGTAATAGTTAGTTAAATTTATGATGAACCTATTGTTCATCGGGGGGGGAGTTTTGTTGAAATTATTTCTTTTTCCCTCCGATGGATTCATTTTTTCTTTTGTTTTTTATCGTCTGTCGCCGACTAGGTCACGTGACTGGCGGCAGAGAAGGAATGTAATACTCTTTTAGTTAAGCTTGAGGGCGACGCCTTGAAATGATCTGTTCTTGGCCGCATAGCGGTAATTGTTCTTGATAAACGAATATTGGCCCTATGATGGGAAAATTTATATAATATGTATGATTTGTGCTTTCAATAATGTAAATAATGTACATAAGCTCTTCATTAAATGTTTTGTTTTTTATATAAAAAAATAGAATCGTGAATTCGTGAGCATAAACGTGACAATTTTTTATTAAACAAAAAAATATTTGATCTAAAAAAATTTTTTAACAAGTTAACCCTAAAATTTAATTTGAAAAAAATAATAAAATGAAACTTAACCACAAATAAATAACCGAATTTTTGGTTTAATTTTTTTGGAATCAAACCATTCTGAAAAAAAAAGTCCATGTCTAGTGTAAAAATACAACTGAATAAATAAAGTTTTTCATGTTTCAGTAAACTGTTAAGACATTTATATTTTTTTTCAAAAAAAAAAAAAAAAAAAAAAAAAAAAAATAATAAATAAATAAAAAATATGCCATGAGAGGAAAACCAAAAAAAAGATTTTCGTAACACTATATAGAGACAGGTGTAGTGCATAAATATGATTCCCTTCCCTTATTTTTTTTTTTTAATAATTGATCACTAAGTACACAAGTATCCAAAATGCTTAAATTAGACTACAGAAAAGCTTTTTAAGTATCATGTGCATGGGCATGGTATATCAGTATTAATGAACAATCAACCCCTTCACTTTCTCAGAGGCATGAGAACACTTGATGCTATGGGAAGGTACTAAGCTACTGAAAAGTAGATGGTATTGACATTTGCCAATAATAAATGATTTGGTTTGGTTTATTTAATTATGGCAAAGCACACTAGGGCTATCTGCCTAAGGAGAGGGATGCCTTCGTGGAGGACTTTCTAAGGGAAACTATTATACACATTATAACTTTACCGCTCGGCCGCTGGTGGGCCGCCAATAATAAATGAGAGAGCAAAGTGTTCAACAGGTATCAATCTGATCAGCTGCACCTGACAAAAAAAAAAAGAAAGTATTGAGTCACCTGGAAAGTTCTATGATTTTTTTATGATAAATACAAATGAAGCAATACAAAAGTTAAAACTCTTCAAAGAAGTTTAGTCCAGGTCATTCAAAGAATTTTGAAGTGACCTGAAGAAGTGAAAATCCAAGAGGCAAGGTCTAGCAAATATGGGAAGTGACACAAAACATCCCCTATCAATAAGTTCTTGTTTTGACAGCAAAATGTGAAGCTGAGCAGGGATAGTCATGATGGAAGACAACACCTCAACAAGTGGTCAATTTTGGACACTCATTTGATTTTTGCTTTTAAAATAGTCATATGGTAATGGTATTTTTCCAAATTTTTTGTCTAATTTGGTGGCAACTTTTGGGGATGCCGGCCCTCTCAATGATACTAAAGAAGGTTTTTTGGCTAACATCATGAAATTTTTCTCACACAAATTAAAATAATGTAATGAATACTAATTTAAAAAAAAGTAGTTTCTTTATTTCTCTTCAGCAAAGAATTAGAAGCCAAAATTCAAATAAGCATATTCTGCTCAGTTAAAGTATGAAATACCCATACATCCATAGCAGCTTATATATCAAATCTTCTCCAAATGATCATGTACATACTTTTTGAAATGTTTGGACTGTCTGATAGTTTCTGAACTGTATAATGTGGGTTTTCAGTGGCAACTCCTTTTAATAGGTCTTTGTTTAAACTGGATGGTGATCCAGAACAGATATCATATAAAGCTGGAATTTCCATGCTACTCAAACTGCATTTTCTCAGTACCATTTTTCCCTTTTATAAAATAAAAGTGCATAACATGATTTCTTCATTCTTAGCACTCCACTGGATTTAGCTTGGTAGATTATGGCAAAGAACACTAAGGCTATCTACCTAAGGACAGGGATGCCTTCATAGAAGACTTTCTAAGGGAAACTGGTTCATATATACATTATGCAAGGGGAAAACCAAAACAATCTCCATGCAGCCACCACATTGCCTGGAATCAAACCTACCACTATATTCGGGAAAAAATTACACAACAATACATGCAAGAATTAAGTAGCATGAGCAGAAAAGACCATATTTATATATCTGCTTCAATCAAGATCAGCAGTAAAAAAATAATTAGAAGAAAATATGCTATGATTTGAAACACCACCAAACATTCCAATTGACCCAACATGCATCCTGAAATATATCTAAGAAATGAAGGCATTACATTTTAAGTATATAAATCGAGATATACAAAATACCAGGTGCATTTTTGCATTAAAGTCACGAAAATACCTCTTTCTGATGGCAGTTTTAGAAAATTTGGGGTTTCTTAATGAAATCTCTTGCCAGTTGCAGTGTTAAAAACTGTAAATGATAAAAAAAGAAACAGGAGACTTCCCCCAAACAACTATAAACCTTAAATTGGGGGGGGGAACTGTTATATTTACTTCAAGATAATTATTATTAACACATTAAAGTTTAACTTACATTATATTCATAAATAAATTTGAACTTCAGTTACCTGCGTATCAGTATTTAATACTCGTCCACATCTGACACAATCTTTCATAAATTCTTCATCACTTACTTGATTTGGGCTATTGAAAACGAAAACCAAAAATTTAGTTTGAAGACATAAATTAATATTCCTCAAGATTTAGCAGGGTATAACATACTGCCTATCATAATACATGTAAAATAGTAACTTAATTTTACAAGATATTAATAACAATGCTTATAGATGAGGTCGGCTATGAAGATTTCAAAACCAGGTAACACAGGCTTCAGTAGACCATTTAGTTTTCATAAATGACAGTTACTGACCTTAATGATTTTAGAATCAAACAATGTAAGTTTTAATTAGTTAATCCATTTAGCTTTCACTTGTGTATCATTTGAAGTGAACATTATTGTAAAAGTCTTACTAGAATGCTGTCAAATTTAAAACTGAAAAGTCTGTTGAAATCTTCCAAGAAATGCTTATTGTTAAAGTAAGCAAAATTATAACATATATATACGCTTCTGAATGGCCCAAATGGCTGAGCAAAAATTTTAAAAATTTGACAGAGAATGCATCTGTATCATAGAGTAACATTAAAAAGGGGGTGAGAGAGGAGTTATTCATCAAGCACATATCTGTAAGTGCAACAGAATAAGGATTGTTTCAGCTTAGATGGTGTAACAATTTATGTTAAGATGGGCTATCAGTGGTCAGTTAGCTAAAATATGTCCCGCTTACGAGGTGCCTAATGTTTCTACTTTTCAAATTTTAATATGTGACAGATTTCTTCAAAAGTATAGAATTCCTCTGAAATAAATTCTAATCTAAGAACTTTAAATACATAAGAAAATTTACAACAAAATTGTTACTACAATACTTTAATAAAATACAACTACGTAAGCCCTGAAATGCTACAGATAGAATTTATACAAACCCTTTGTCTGCTCCTTGTTCAACTCTCAGCATGTGATACCACTGAATTTTAAAAATTGGCATGAACCAATCTGCAAATAAAATTAATGAAAAACATAATTTATGTTTTGAAATTTCAAGCACCATAATTTAGAAATGTAACTATGATAATAGCATTTTAATTGCTGATAATAAGAATATAGAAAATGAATACTGATTCGTTTGATTATAGCAAAGCAAATAGTGGCTATGTCCTCACATGCAGCTATTACTGAAGAATTGAAACCTAGAATGAAGTACGTGCTTGCAGCAGTTCTACCTGTTTTGTCACTGCCAAACCTAAAATTGTTTCTTTTTTTTAACTATGTATCAACGGCAGTCTAGAATGATACATTATTGGATTTTAGCTACACATAGCCTCTTAGGTTACACCAAAACATGATTTATTAAATTAGTTGGTAAAAAATTATAATTATATTTTTTGAATAACTAATTAATAATGTGAAGTAATATAATACAAATTTATTTAGCAATTTATTATTTAATATGGTATGAATAAAAATAATGCATACTGCATTTATTAAAAATTGATAGGACAGAATTAAAAATTTATGATACAGAATATAAATCTTAGGATTTTGTTCAAAATTAAAAATTAAAATATTTGTATGCAGCAAAATTATATGCCTAAATGCAATCTGATTAAATGCCAAATAAATTTACAAATATCAACAATGCTAAGAAAATCACCTTTGATAAACAATTATCCCCCTTAGATCATACAAAGTGTAAAAAACACATTAATTCTTTTTAAATGTTAAAATGAAATCAAATAAAAATAATTAATGCTTTGTATACAATACATAACATACAGCAATATTACCTTAATGTACATTAAAATGAAGTTTAACTGATAGTTATAGTACCAGATTTATAAAAATTAATTTAAATGAAATTTGATTGGATTTTCATGATTTTTGTGTTACATATTCATTCAGAAATGTTCATTTTCATATTCTGGAAACACCTCTTCAAACTTTTGTCACTTCTATATTAAGAATCTTACATTTTTAAAGATTTTTTAGAGGGGTAGGTCCTATGGAACATACAAGACACGAAATGCTCAACCAAGCATAAATTAATTAATTTATATTACATACAATTTTAAAATAAAAACCAAACCTTCTTTTAAATTAAATTTTTCATTAACGACAAAAGTGCTCTGTAATGATATGTTTTGTACATTACACTCTTTTGCAAATTCAAATGTGTAAAATTCTCATATTTAGCTTAATATCACAAAAAATTTTTGGAAATATTCATTCAAGAAAAAGAATAAAAGTTTTTTAACTTTGTTGACTTCTAAAGATTCCCTAATTAAAGATTTAAGGATTTTATATGTTCAGTTATTTCAAATTTCATATTAAAATTTTCTGTCAAAAAAAGAAACGAAATATGTTACTGAATCTGAATTTTAATTAACTTTTGCAGTTCTTTGAATCTAAACATAAATATGTAAACACAAATCTAAATGAAATCCTTTCACTGAAAAACTGAAGTGACTAATATTTATATCTTTCGCCAGAGTCTGATTATAGTACAGTTTTCTTTTTTCTGGACAAGTATGTAGAAAATCAGAATTTAAAACTCAATTTTGAACACAAAAAGTAGAACTCCCCAAAATTAATTTTTGCCATTAAAATGTAATTTGTACTCCCTTCATTGCAGCACATGGATAAACATAAAAAACAATTAAAATCAGGTAAATGAGCAACCTTATTTTGGCATAAATTTTGAACAAAAAAAATCTGTACTGTGCATATGTGGGACTTATGACAGATCACTCAAAAAATATAAAGTAATAGATATTTTATTTAAAATTGTGGAAAAAGTTGTAGAGGGCACTGCACTGCCTGTGCCTGTATATAATTAACAGTATAAAACTTCAGTTCTTTGAGAGAGTGAAGAAGTGTGACAAGAGTGAGAGTTCAGCGAGGTATTAATGTAATTCCCAACGTTATGTAAATAAATTGTACATAGACCTATGATTCATAAGCTATTAGAAGGAAATAAAGTGTAGTGCTATTATTATTATTAACTCTGCTTGGCTAAATAATCTCTTGACACACAAAGTATTTCTACTGCCCAGATATAGTGCTTAACTGTAAAGCTTCGAATCAGGCATCATTGGATTATTTTTTCTAGTTATTGAATCTCCAAGTCAACAACACAAGAAGAACCGCCAATGATGAGTGATGATAAAATTATTCTCATTTGATGTTTTAGTGCCAAGTAGCTGAAAACAAAAGTTAATGAATTTAAGTGTTGTTAAAGCATCGATTGTTGTTTGGTTAAGATATAGTGGATTAATTTTGTTTTAGATACAATTTCTATTTCCATGCCGTTTATCTTTGGAAATTAAAATGAGTCTAGACGAAAGAGTTGAATAAAACAAGAATATTAGAGGTTCACTAATGTTACACTAATGTTACACTAATGTTAATGTTCACTAATGTTAGGAACCACTGTTACAGAATTAATTAAGAAAATTGAAGATGAATTAAACTGTTGAAAGAATCAGCTGTGGTGTTAATCAAGAGAGAAACTAATTTATCAAAATATAATGAAATTATTAATGCACAAAGCACTGTGAAATAATTAGAAACAGAAGTACAACATTCATTTGAATACAACAAGCTATCATTAGATATAAACCAAAGATACATTCAAAATGTTGTTAAAACCAGAACAATTCTACAAGTCAGTAGATATAGAACAATTCTGTCCTTTTTTGGGGGGGGCACAATGTACATTATTTACAATGTAGAAAACTAGTTTAGCACCATTAAAGAAGATGCTACTTCCCAGGTTGGAATCAATAGCAGCATTAGTCACAGGAGTTGCAGAAATACAGACTGTACTCCACCTGATAAGTGGAAATATTGTCCAGGGTCAGAAAATCCTGCAGATAAGTTACCTCGTGGTGAAGTAACACATACATTGTTTAAAGAAAATATTGGTAATTCATGGTACATTATGGTTGAGAGGTTCTAAAGATCATTGGGCTTCGTGGAAGTTTAAAGTACAGATTGATAATCAGAATTTGGAATGTTTGAAAACTTACATTTATGCAACTGCTCAAGTAAGAAACATTGCATTAAATATTACTAAGTTCAGCAGTCTGGAAAAATTATTAAGAGTTGCAGCTTAGGTGAAGCAGTTTGTTGCCAAGCTGAGATTACATACTTGTGAAGAAATTCCTCTTACTACACTGGAGATTTCAGAAGCTGAAGAACAGTGGATAAAACAAGTGCAGATAATATTCTCCGGAGATTCAATAACTAGAAAAAATAATCCAATGATGCCTGATTCAAAGCTTTATAGTTAAGCACTATATCTGGGCAGTAGAAATACTTTGTGTGTCAAGAGATTATTTAGCCAAGCAGAGTTAATAGATGACAAAAAGCATTCTATTAGACTGACAAAGTCTAAGTTCAGAGAACAAATGATATTTAGTGAACACGCGAAATCATTCTATTCAGGAGTTATGTCAACACTGTCCAAAGTCAGGAACAAATTTTGGATACCTAGAAGCAGAAAAATAGAGAAAGTTATTGCTACTTGCCTTATATGTAGGAAATACCATTGAAACCTGCTAGACAACAAACAAAGCAACTGCCGAGAGATCATGCTGTTGAAAGTTCCCCTTTCACAGTGATAGGAACTCATTTCACTAGAGAATTACCATTAAAGCTGAGAAAGAGATGTTAAAAGAGTATACATTGTTCTATTTACGTGTGCAATAGTATGCACAATGCATATTGACATGGTCTCAGATGTGTCAAAAAAAAGTTTTATTTTATCTCCTCAACATTCTCTACTTAAAAGAAGCCACAAAAATGATCTATACAGATAATGCAAAATCACAGCACAAGAGAAATACTTAATTATTATAAATCCAACATTACAAGACTCTATAATGTCTAAAGGCGTCACTTGGAAATTCATCCCTAATTGTTCTCCATGGTAAGGAGAATTTTAAGAATGCCTGATGAAGAGTATCAGAGAACCTCTATAAAGAAAATATTAGGAAGAGTGTTATTGACATGTAAAGAGTTACTACAATACATAGTGAATAGAATGTGTTTTAAACAACAGACCATTAATTTATGAGCTTTGTGAACCTCAACTTCTCATTTCTTACTTAAAGGATGTGAGAATATCAGTTTTCTTTTATACTTTACAAAGGTGTTCAACAAAGTTTCTGATTAAGAGACTCTAACAATTTGAGACTTCTCAAGCAAATATGGTCTAAATGGAAACAGCAATATTTACTGCAACTGAGGAATGCTTATCACTTTTTAAATCCCTTTCCTGAGCATAAAAAAGAAGATGTTGTTCTTGGAGACAGATAAACAAAAAGCAAACTACTTTAGGACATGGTGCATCACTCAAGATGTTCTAACAGGCAAAGATGGCCTGCACTGTTCATATACCCAAGAGGCAAATTAGATCAATTCAATTTTCATATGCTTTTGAAATCTGAATTTTAATGCATATTCATTAATTGCATTTCTTCATTTACTGATACCAAATTTTTGTGTTTTGTTACTGTCAATAATGGTGGTTAGATGATTTGTTTCTTTTCAATAATAATCTCAATTGTATGCATTTATCAAAATTATTTAATGAATACCATTTTTACTTATTATATTAATGTCAGTATTAGTTTACTGCATTTATAGGCATTTATTTTTTATATTTTGATTGTAATTAACAAAATTTTTCAACTCTTAAATAGGAGCACAGATGGGAAGAGCTGCGGAAAAAGTTGCAGAGGGCACAGCGATGCCATATACAATTAATCAAAAATTTTGTTTCTTTGAGAGAGTGAAGAGGTGCGGCAGGAAAGAGTTCAACACAGAATTAAGGTAATTTCCAATATCTTGTAAATATATTACACAAGAAATAAAGTGCAGTGCTTATTCGAATTCAATATGATAAAAAAAAAAAAAAAAAAACGCCAGTGATGAGTGATGATAAAATTATTCTAAAAAATCTATGCCAAAAATAAGGTTGCTGTTTTGCTTGATTTTAAAATTTACATTGGCATGCATGTCTTCTACTCTGATGAAGAACAAGTTGCATATGATAAATGCATAACATTAGCCTAGCAGTCTCAATACAAATATTAATTCAACATGCTTCCTAGCAATATTTATTGAATATAACTTTCATTGCACTTTAACTACTTCCAACTTGTAATTTTTTTTTCAATAAAAATATGAATTTTTATCTAGCAACAAAATAAAAATATACATACGTACCAACTGGGATAATGTTATCAGATTCAATAACTTCCATATCAACATGATGTACAACCAGATGTTTTAAACGCAAGGCACGAAATGCTTTTTGATAAGAACATCCGCAATTTGTTGAAAGAAATGGCATGGACCCTTTAAGAGTTATTATATAATTCTTATATGAAATTAAATAATTATTTGTAATGTTCTAACACTAGAACTACCAATTCATTAAAATAATAGATTTCACCTTTAATTGAAATAGGTGCACATTAATCATTGGCCATTCTAGTGTTGAACAAATACACAAAATCACATCACTAAATAAGGAACAGTTTCATGATACACTTAATGTAGCATACGAAAGAAATAACTTTAGGCAGTGGCATAGCTAGGGTGGGGCAAGGGGGAACATCTGTCCCTGGATGTGCTCCAAATTGATGTTACAAAATTTTAGAATGAAATGTTTTCCTTTCTTGGCAGACAGAATGGGGCACGAAATCTTCAGTTGTTCAAAGGCTTTAACACCTTTGCTACGGCTCTGACTTCTCACGATTAACTACAGACTGAATAAGTTAAATGATATAAAAATAACACACTATTTCAAAACTCCAATACAAATAAATTTTGATGAAATTAATTTTGTAAAAATAAACATTCTAATACATAGACTTCTTTTACATTCAAAAAGGTATACTAAAAAATGTTTCACTTTAAAATAACCAAATCTCACAACAGAGATTAAACAAAGCAAAAAGTCCTTTCAAAGCATAATAGACGTCATTTGATTAACAATAATACTTACCAGAGAAACTGTTAAAATATTCTTCAGTAGCTGATGATAATGTATCAAAATGTACAAAGGTTAAATTTTCTCTCAGGAAAACCCACTATAGAAATTAAAATTCAATAATTAGATATTTAAATAACAATTAGAAAATAAACAATTTTTTACCAGCATCTAAGAAATTTACGAAGATAATATCTATCATATATTTACAGAGATTTTAACACACACATACAGTGCTTATATGGTTATTTATTCTTTAATTAAGTAATTAAACCATTTACCTGTTTTAGTATAATGTAGAGAGAAAATTCTGTCTGTACAACAACAAGATGAGGAGATGAGATTAATTCCACCATTAAATCAGAACTGCAAGTTCAAGAATGTATGATGTAAATAAGATACATAATGTAAACAATAAAAAACACACAGTAACTCAAATTTCGAATCTGTTATACAAATTATGAAAACTCAGAGCAGGGTCTACGAAGCAGTAGATAGCATATTAATAAAGACAATGAAAAACATGAAATAAAAATCACTAATATAAAGTAATTAAATTATAACAATTTTTAATTTAAAAAATCAATTTGATCCTATTTTCATTTGTGTTATATATAAAAAGAAGATAGTATTCATTAATCATATTTTATGCCTGTCAAAAAAACACACAATCAAAACAAAATCAGCTGCAGCAATATTTTCAAATTAAAACCTCTCAAACTGAAGTAATTTAATCAAGGTTGTAATTTATAATGGCATTTTAATTTTTTAGTGTTTTTGTTTTTATACATGAGTAAAATAAAAATTCCAAAGTAGAATGAAAGCTTTCTATTTGAAGTTTGGTACTTCCTCACTATTATCTGTATACAAGTAAGATACTTTTATTTAAATAGCCTCAAAATTATTGACAATTGCTAACTGTCCAAAAGCAGCTGACATTCCTGATGCTTTCTTATTGTTATGGGCTCTTTATTTCATGGCCATTTTTGCATATACGGAGAAAAATAAATTTTTGTCTTGGAAGAATGATATAGCACTTTCCTTCCTCCCTATCCAATAAAAAACTGTTAACACGTTTCAGAAAAAAAGAAAATACAATAGATTTACAATGATAATACATGTTCTTCTCAGAGCTCTTCATGATCAGCAGTGAACAGGATTAGGACTGAAGAGGTCAACAAAATGTTGAGAAACTCTTGGACGATTCTACTGTCAAAAATTTAAAAGAAACATAACAATTTCAAAGTGAGGAATGGTAACACTACGGGGAGGGGAAAAAAATGTTATCTCCAGTGTGCGAGACTGTGTATCGGAAATTCTAAAGATATGCTGTTTTTAAATATTTTGTGATATTGCTGTTGAATTGAATTTTATGTGTTTTAAGTGCAAAGAACATGATATTTAATCAATAAAAGTAACACACAAAACATTAAAAAATTCACCATTTTGGGCGTAATATAAAATCTGAAAGCGTTCAGATTTTTTTTAAAATATTAATTTTAATTAAAACTTTTTTTGAACAGTAATCATTATGTCATTCATTTAAACTTCCAAAGAGTTTGTTTTAAAGAGCATTTACATGTTAATTATAATTTCATAAGGTAATCTTTGGATTATTCTTCCAATTATCTGTAAATTAATTAATTAAAGATAACTGGGAGTTCAGTGTACACTAATTAAAGAACGCAATACATTTATAAGCAGTATTTATTAGCAATAGGAAATATTGCCACTTAAAATGCTATAAAACAACTAATACAGGGTGTCCCAAAAAAAGGTACTCACAATTCAAATGATGAGAAAAACTTTATTTCTGAACATAGAGTGAAATGGAAGGGCTTCGAATACAGAAGATAAATATAATAAAGGAATCATGTTCGTGAATGCTCAAATTGATGATCATCATTGTCCAGAAAATGCTGATAACGTGCACCAAGGGATTCGCGAACGTCATGAAACAGGTCATTAGGAATATTGTGACATTGTCTTTCAATTTCCAGTGCATCAATTTTTCTTGGTTTGGTGCGATAAACTTTGTCTTTGAGATATCTCCACAAAAAGAAGTCCATGGGCGTGAGGTCTGGGGAATGCGCAGGGTATTCAGTGGTACCCCTTCGTCCAATCCATCTGTCTGGAAAAGCTGCATCGAGGTGAGCTCATACATCATGATGGTAGTGGGGAGGTGCTCCATCTTGCTGAAAGTAAATCTCATGGTCATCAACAAACATTTCTCAAATTTGTGGAATAACAAATTCTTGAGGCAAGTTGAGGTAAGTCTCAACAGTGGCAGTTCCATTAAACAAATTATCCTATGACGCCCAATGCGGATATCCCAACCACACAACCATCCTGGTAAGTTTACATGGTTTTCAAGTGTTATATGAGGACTTAAGGGATCTCAGTACATACAATTATGCCATTTAATTCAAAGGATGCCTCATTGCTCCACAAAAGTTTTTGTGAAATCCCTGCATCTTCTGCACATTTTGTCAGGTACCACTCACAGAATTGAACTCTCCAATCAGGATCATCTTCGTTAATAGCATGGATTAATGTTGGAATGTAGTATTTCCATTGCAGATGCTTCATGATGCGATAGACGTTATCTTTTGAGATGTGGGTTTCCCTAGCAGTTTGTCACAGAGATTTCTGTAGTGATCAAAGGAGTGTTTCCTGCACCTTCTCTTCTTTCCTAGGGCTCATGGATGTCCGTTGTAAAGAACGTTCCTTCTTGACTTTCGGGACAGTTCCATCTGCTTCAAACTTGTCTTTGATGTGAGCAATGGTCTGGCGCATTGGTGGCGGTTTTGTGTATTCCCTTCTATATCGTCTTTGCACTTCAATGGCGTTTTCGGTCTTCAAATAACATTTCAAGACAAACTTCCTCTCTTCTAAGCTGATTTGATGCCATGCTGTGCTAAATTAATTACACCTACAACTCAAAAAGGCAGCATGTTAACGACAGTTAAAGTGTGAGTACACTTTTTTGAGACACTCTGTATTTTAATGAACTCAGTTTCTTTATTAGACATCATCTAGAAATTATACAACTGCAAATTTAAAACTAAAACCAGAATGTGATTTTTTACTTAATTTATAAATTCATGAAATAAATGATACATATAAAAAAAAAACTGTTCAATACCTTAACTGCTGTAAATGTACAGGAGATGCAGCCAATTTGACAACCATATTTTTATATAACCAATCCAATGTTAGAGATTTAATTTCTTTTAAACCATATAACTCACTTGCTTCATGATAGGAAATGACTGTATCCATACTGTAAATGAAACACTGAAGTGAAAAATAATCTATAATAATAAATTTCAGCAATTAAAAAGAATGCAGATTGTTATAAAATATAAAAATTCCAAATGCTATAAATGGTACTTCCATGCATATATAAGGTTTTTATTGTATTTTTTGCCATTCACATGTTTCCAACGATTGATTTTAACTGTTTTTTATATTCTACATTTTATTTCACATGTAGCCTAATTTTTCACACTTCAATGTCATTGTTTTTTTAAAAAATACTGCGTTAAATTATTTCTTGGAGCCACAGCTCCTGGTAACTTTTTGGCGAGCTCACTACAATTTTTCTTCTTATTATTTCATAATTTTTGCAGCATATTGTGAAAAAAAAAAAAAATATAAGACCGAATAGGTCTTACAGCACAGTACTTACTAGCTTTTCAATTATATATATATATATATATAGAGAGAGAGAGAGATATGAAAAGGAATTTAAAGAATTCTAAAAATATAAATATTATCTAAACAAAAGAATAACTGTGCTTTAACAGCAAAAATACAGTCAAAAGTCTTTAATACGGACTCGTCGGGGCTTCGGCGATTCCGGATTATCGATTTTTCCGGATTATAGATCATCAGTTTAAATCTGGTAAGATGGCATGCAGAAATTATAAAATTAAAAATATGAAACCGTAATTTATAAAATAATGAGCAATTATGATCTAAAGGGTATCGAAATTTACAAAAAAAGAAGCTTAATATTTATTTGTTTACTTTATTAAACATTTCTTTCAACGCGCGTATGCGTAAAGCATACCTTACGCATAGCCGAAATTAGAAAATTGCAACCAGAAAACTATTTGATTTGTATTCATGATATTTATAATGACGAGGAATTTGATTTAAATCATATCAAAGACGGAGTACATCGAGATTAAATACTACATTTAGTAAGGAATTATAAGCCAAATAAAATACAAACATCTGCCCTAAAGAAAACGATAGTTCTGACAGATTAACTTCCAGTTCATTGCGGGCGCCGTGACGTCCCCCCCCCCCGCGCAGACCAGAGTGAAATTGACAAACAGATTTCGGAACCGTTAGATAAACAAAGGATATGCATTTATCCATTTTTTATAGCAATTCGTTTTTTGTTTGATGGACATCGAAGCATACTTTCGTTTTCTAGATCCTTTGGGAGCTCCAGCATCGGAAATTCTATTTGACATAATCAAAAGTTCAAGCTTACTTTTATAAAATTGCTCTTACGGTCTGCAAAAAATAATAAGCCGTATCCAATTCGAAGATTAAGGAACAACGCAATCATCAACATTAACTGAAATAGATAATTAGATAATTTTAGCTTATACCGTCCGTTTTTACATAAACGCGCACGCGAAAACGTATTTTGCGCTTGCGCAGACACACTGCGCAGTCGAAAATGTCTTGCGCGCACGCGTAAAATGCCTATGCGCATGCGCAGAAAGATTTTAGCTTTGAGGTCCGGATTATGGATGTCCGAATTAACGACTTTTGACTGTATAACTAAATTACAATAAGTACTAAAATTATAACCTTTAAAAGTATTACAAAAATTCAAAAGAAAATGTTGAGAACTAGTAAAAACAAATTTCAAACTTCAATAAAAGTGAAGTAGGCTAGGCCAAATCGTCGAAATATTAGAACAGTAGTCAGATTGAACTATTTTTGCTCTCATCAAAAAGATGGACAAAACCACCAATGTATAATTCATAAAAGCTTGTACATTTGTGACTTTCCACTCTGGTAGCTGATTTCTGTTACTAATAAGGTCAACTGTTTTCAATTTCCAATGCAGCCACTTTGGAGTGAAGATTTCAGCTTTTGTCCTCAATTTTTCTTTTTCTACTTGCTTTACTGCTATTTTAATTTACTAATCACTGCAATTTTTGCTTTTAATACATCTACCATCTTAATTTTAACTTAAGTTTTTTTTTTTTTTTTTTATATATATATATATCTACATTGCCTTAATTAAAAGCTTCTCATTTGTTTGCTTATACTAAATACTTCTTCTGTTCTTCCTCTTTCCAAATGGAAGAGAACTCTGCATACATTAGCACCCATAATTGCATTTTTTGCTCATGCTTCCATTTCAGTTTGGATATTAGTTGCGGTAAACATATTTTCTTTCTCTTTTTGTTGAACTTAACTAGCTGTCTTTTTAATTTGTACTTTTGTTTAATTTGATTTATTTCTAATGTATATATATGCTTTATCATCTTTTTCATTGTTATTTAGCATTTTTTAATTAAATTTTCAGAGTTTATTAAAACTTCACATTTTGAAGAGATTTTTAAGTCTCTTTAAGATTGTTCAAATCAATGTACTTTTCTAAATTCTTTCATTTCACTCAATTACTTTGTCATTTTTTTCATCATTACTTAGTGTTTTTTACCTACATTTATGGAGTTTACTGATACTTCATATTTTGAAAGAAGTACTTTATCTTGTTTATAATTTAGTTTTTGTTTTTAGTATTTTTCACTTGTTCAGATCAGTGTAGGAGATAGTGCTATGCAATTGTTTTGAATTAATTATTTTATCATTTTGAAAATGCATAGTATCAGAAAATATTAATTTGTCCTTCCAATTAAATGGAATGGGAAATTAAATTATTTTTGTCCATGCCCTTGAAGAGAGCAATGACAATTCTCATACACATGTAAATAAAATACATTTGCATAATATCAAATTAAAAATAACATCACTTTGTTTAAGAGATTTTTATGTTTTCGTACAATTTTTACGTTTTTGTACATGATTATTCAAATAGAGTATTCATGTGCATATGCCTATAGTTTCACAAGTAAACAGAACAAAACAAAAAATACATATTGCTAAATTCACATTGAAATTTAAGAAATCATTATGAAATAGCAATGTAACATTTCAAATATTAAATGGTTGAATTATTTAACTGCAGCAAAGCATATTACGACTATCAAACAAGAAGAAGTTGTGTTTTCCTGGGAAACTTTCTAAAGGAAATTGTAGTTGAGAAGAAAATCAAAAAAATTAAATATATACATATATAATTAATTAAATTTAAATAAGTTGTAGAAGCGTACTTCCTATGATGATATAAACAATTTGACGACAGTAATAAATTTTATCAATCCAAATGTTCCAAAAAAATTTTGTAGTTTATTACAGTCAAAAGTCGTTAATTCGGACACCCATAATCCGGACCTCAAAGCTACAAACTTTCTGCGCATGCGTCGCGTTCACGCATGCGCACAGGCGTTTACGAGAGCGTGTAAGACCTTTACGGCTGCTAATATGTTTGTGCGCATGCACGTTTAATGTGTAACGGAGGTATAAGCTGAGCTAAAATTATCTAATTCAGTTAATGTTGCAGATTGCGTTGTTCCTTAATCTTCAAATTGGATCCGGCTTATTATTTTTTGCAGACTATTAGAGCAATTTCATAAAAGTAAGCTAGAACTTTCGATTATGTCAAATAGAATTTCCGATATATATTTACTAATATGTAATTTGTATCTACAAAGCGAAAGTATGTTTTGAAATCTGAAATCTGTTTATCAATTTCACGCCGCGGATTGGAAGTTGATCTGTCAGCACTATCCTTATCTTCAGGGCAGATATTTTTATTTTTATTTGGCTTATAATTCCTTACTAAGTGTAGTATTTCATCTTGATGTACTCCATGTTTGATATGATTTAAATCAAGTTACTCGTCATTATAATTTGCTTCCGACAGTGAAGAAAGTGACCCAGAGGTTATTGAAAACGAAAACATTTCGATTGACAAGTAAGTCGGTATTCTCGGCACAGCAATTACGGGACTTGAACAGCGGAACTTTGTAACTGAACAAGAAATTATGTCTGTTTATAGAATTAAAGAGAAAGTATTATCACAGAAAACGAAGCAACTTAAACAACTTACATTGAAAGAAATGTTTAATAAAGTAAACAAATAAATATTAAGGTTTTTTTTGTAAATTTTGATACCCTTTAGATCATAATTGTTCTTTATTTCATAAATTACGGTTTCATATTTTTAATTTTATATTTATGCATGCCATCTTACCAGATTTAAATTGATGATCTATAATCTGGAAAAATCAATAATCCGGAATCGCCGAAGTCCCGACTAGTCTGGATTAACGACTTTTGACTGTAATACATTTTTCTGAAACATATTTTCTTTCCTTTCCGTTTTTTTAAATGCTAACTACATAATATTAAAACTCCTAACAATGTATCTTAAAAATTAATTAATTAAAAAGTATTCAAATATAAAGGCAGAAAACTGATTTAAATTGATGCATATTTAAAAAAATAAATGGATCCATACTTAATACTCTCTTTCATTACTTCTACACTTTGCTGAATTAAATCTTCCTGCAAAAGACATTTAAAAACATTTTCACATCCAAAATCAAACCAAACCTATTTGAACTTTCGATGATAAATAAATAAGAAATTTAAATATTGACAAATGTCAACAATTGAAATTACCAGCTGAAGAAGTGTTGCAGCTGCTAAAACTGAAACAGCCTCTGAAGGTTCAATATTTATCTCATCTTGATACAGTGACCCAAATACTTTGTGAAGAGCTGTAATAGGATAAATAATTTTTTATTATGAGGCATTATAAAATCAATTAATAAAAAATTAATCATATTCTTCATGCAAAATGAAACATTGCAATTTATCAAGGACTAATTACATAGTTCATTACATGGTTGGATTACTTAACAATGAAAAATAACATTAGGGCTATTTATCAAGGAGCGATGCCTTGATTGAAAACTTTATGAGGGAAGTTAGCCTGTGTTTTTATGTTACATAATATAATTCATTAATAATGTTAATTTTCTCATCATTCAGTCAGTAATCTGGAATGAAAATACCAAAAAATAAATAATAATAAATATAAAAGTCAACCTTTTTAATGCATCACTTTGGATAACAGCCATTATGCTTACACCACTTTTACACCTCCGAAAACAAGTTTTGTATAGGCACCATTCGTATCCCTATTCAAGCAAATTTCCTAGAAAGTTTCCCCCCATTTAGAAATCAAAAAATAACAACAGCAGTGATTATTATGTCTAATTCATAATGCTAAAATCTTATTTTATATTCATCTTATTTTATATTCATCTAATTTACTTACGGATCACTTTATAACTCTGCCCTGTTGGGAATGGGAGAGGAAATATTAAACTCTCTTTCAGGGTTTATTAAAGACATTAGTGACACCCAGAAGTCTAGGAAGTAAATTGTCTCATTCTAGCTGTTAAAGACAGTGCTAGTCCAGAAATGATTTTGCTCAGTAATATCATGGTATATATTTGACACCACACCATCCCTCTGAATGACGATTACCACACGTGCCTGCTTGGAAGTTTATAGCAGCACTTTTTATTTATCTTGTCTCTATATATTGCTTTTATTTTTATACATTTGCTTTTGTCATATTGTAAATCTGTATTTCCTGTTTTCTACAAAGCTAAAGATGTCATAGAGCTTAATGATTTAAATGCAAGCATGAAACTATAGGAACAGGGCTTGTCCACATTTCTGCACATGGAAATTAAGTACATTTAAGGATCATTTATGAAAAAACAATTAAGGACCTATCATCGAATGGGAACTGAATAAGTTCAGTTAAAGATATCATCTATACCTGAACTTCACTTTTGTAACACCATTCTAAGAATAAAACAGATCTGTACATAGAATGCATTATTATTAAACATAATCTAATTTTAAACATGATTATAAAAGAAACTTGAGAATAAAATCAACTTTTTATCATGTAGCATTAAATATTTTACACTTATAATGGTTGGACATATTTTAAAGAAGATTAGTGACACATTTTGTTGAAAGTTAGCTTTATGCTGGTTTTTTTCTTCTATGTCTCGTAATGTCATGTACTTGCTCAGTCTAGAAGTTTAGTAAATAGCAGGCAGATTTTATGCCAAATAGCAGAGGCTAAAATGAGAAGTAAAATCATAATCAGCATAATTCATAAGGGAAGCTTGGCTGTTGCCACCACTGCTACTTGCCTAGAGAGAGACCTGCTGATCAGAACAGACCTGAATGCCTGATAATGGCACAAATGGTAAGTGCTGAAAATTAGTTATGCTCTGTCTATCTGATGCAGTTAGTATCATAGTTTCACGTAGAGTTCCTGGAGTTGTAACCCAGATAAGATACTTTAAGGTTCCAATAAGCCATTAAGGCACCAGAAATGATAAGTTGTTTTCTATTACTGTCAGTCTCACTAGCTGTCAGGAATAAAATAAAATTTTTACACTTTAGTATTGTATCTTGTGACTGCAGTAAGAATTAATGAAAGGCAATAACATGCAGAGATAACTTTTAAGGGTAAGCAGTTAGTTACAAATAATTAAAATAAGTAATTGTCATTTTAAATTTACATGTCCACTATTAAATTTATTTATTTTTAAAAAATATTTGTTAACAAAACACTATTAAAATTAATATTTCACAATTTAAAATGCATGTAATTTATGACATTGAATCCTGAATGACATTAGGATACATTAAAAGCCACAGAGCATTTATGTTGTGTAGGAACAACAAAATATTTATGAGTCTTTTTAATTTGAAAAACCTCCCAGTCATTTTTGCAAATTTATATTAATTTTCTTCTCTTTAAACATCTTTTCTAAGAATAAGAAATATTCTTCAATAAGCAAAGCAATGTTCTCACTAGTTTCTGCTTCATCTCCTAACTTTTCAACAAAACTCTTCAGAAGAATGATTTTCTTTCTCTTTATGTACTCAGATTCTTCTTCAATAAGCTTCCTTTCCATTTCAGAATTTTTTAATTTAATTAAAGATTTCTGTTATTTAAAAAAAAAACTTCATATATTCAGAATGTATAAAAGAAACTGCTAAATTTATTTCTTTATTAATATGAACATTAAGAAAAAATATGAAATGATAGATGGTCAGGGCCTATACCAGAACTAGTGTGGCAGAACTTTTAGAATCCATGGAAGCACCAAGCAACAAAATATGGGGATGGTAAAACTTTTAGAATTTTGGGAGGCACTATGCAGCAGAATTTTCACTTTACAGAGATTGTATCAGGTGGGAAAATGCCAGTTGCCGGCCCGTTTATGATGCACTGAGATCTAACAGATGAATCTTTTAAATTGTCAGTTTTTAATTTCTTTATTAATTGAAAAAAAAATCCTTTCTATAGATGTCTATCCAGGTGACAAGATTAGAAGTATTTTTTGATATTTTCTCTGCTTGATTCTAATGAGAGGAAAAGAATTCTTCTAAGGAGTAGGAAAAAAAAAAAAAAAAAAGAGAGAGAGAGAGAGAGAGAGAAGATGTTACGAGAAAAGACTTCTAGAATCAGAAGTATAAAATTCAAATTATTATGTTTTTATTATTCTTTCAAAAATTCTCCAAAAAATAAGAAATTCATCAAACTTCCTGTAAAATACATCCCTTATGTGTTAATACCATGAAGACATTTTTCATTTTGTCAAATTTTTCTGGAATCTTTTGGAATCATATGTCTATAAATTTTGTCTTCCTATCCTCTAAACCTTCCAAGATACAATGTCTAAAACTGAAAGAAAATTTATCCTTATAAATTCTGTAATAGAAAAATGGCAAAATGTTTTTGAAGGAAAATAAAGAAAAGAAATATTCTGAGATAATTACACGAGAAAAAAACTCTTACCATGAAAAAAATAAAATAACCTCAAAGGGTTAATTTCTAAGTAACTAAATTAAATTACCAAATTTAAAGCCATCTAAGTAACTAAGTAACTAAAATAGCTATTTTGCTAAGAAGTGTTTCAGAAATTGCGCTTTATAATATCAGCCAGTACAAACAGACAGAAATATTCTGTTCTAACTGAGACGGAACAGTATCTATTAGCTTGCTTATTTTTCAAATTCAAAATATTCTACTAATAAATCAACAAAATGGAAATTAATGTCATTTATAATATGACAGGAAAAAATAAAACTTTTTAAGTATTCTTGAACTATAATGGAATATATGTAATTATTTTAAAGAAATTTATCAATTTATAATCCGTGAAAAAAAAAAAAAAAAAAAACTGTAGAATATAACCATCACCAATTAAAGAATTGTAGCGAAATGTCTTAAAAATCATTAAACCTTGATAAGTACCAAATTTAAGACATTAATAAAAGAATTCATATCCCAAAAGAAAAAATTCAATGATTATCAAAAAAAAGAAATTATTTGGAAATACTTAAGTTTCACTTCTTGCCCAGAAACTCAAGTATTACACTGTTTATATTAGAAGTAGGAACAAATTCAAATGATACTCCATCAAATCATCCTTTGTCAATGAATCACCAAAAAATATTCTGCCAAAATGCTAATTTACACTAAAAATAGCAGTCATAAAAGGAATTTCTGCCGATTTAGGGCAAAATTAAGGACTTTTAAGGACCAGAAATCATTTTAACGTAAGGACTCTTAAGGCCCGTTCCCACTGGGGTTATCTGAGCTAACGAACACAACTAACGTAGTCGACCCTCCCCAAAACCAGTTTTTCCCATAGAGCAGCAAGTTGAAAAATCTGAACTGCAGGCACAGCGGAGCTAGTCGACACAGGGAACTGACTCCGTTAGCTCAGATAAACCCCAGTGGGAACGGCGCTTTAAGGTCAATACAAGCCCAGAACAAGCTGAAGAATGTGAATACCTATCAAGGCAGTATGCTGATTTTGCCATCTTTAATGTTACTGTGCCTGCACCTCTGACTCTATATGCATCTGTGCTGTATTTTCCTCAGATATGAGTACTGTATATGCCAACAAGCACTACAAGACCATCTTGGTGTTTAAGAATACAAAGAACAGGAAATGCAGATTTGCAATATGGCAAAAGTAAAATGTACAGAAATAAAGCAATATATAGAGAAAATATAAATAAAAAATGCTATTATACACTTCCAAACAGACACATGTAATAATACATTCAGAGGGATTGGGGTATCAAATGTACACCATGATATTACTCAGCAAAATCATCTCTGGTTCAGCACTGTCTTTAACAGCTGGAATGAGACACTTCGCTGTTATCTGGAGCATTTGGAAAGATACAGTGGCATCAACATAGCCATTGTTACTTCCTGAGAGGAAGAACAAGCATTCCTAAATGTGTTTAAAGAGCTGGTGATTCTATATATGTTTGAAACCAGCATGAATCTTATTAGCATTATGTTAAGAAGATAAAAACTCCTAACCTTTAGTTTTTCTCACAGTTCAAATAAATGAGTTGAAGGAATTAACCCTTTGAGGTTAGGTGCATAAAAACATTTTTTTGGGAAAAAAATAACTTTACACATAGATAACTAGCCCCTAATATTTCATGCAAAAAAAAAAAA